TTGGAAGGGACCTTGGAGGTCTTCTAGTCTGACCCCCTCCTCAAGGGTGAGACCTCCTCCCATTTCAGGCCAGGGGCTGCCCAATCTCTCTCTTAAAAGCCTCCAGGGTTGGAGCATTTACAACTCCTGAAAGCGAGTCGCTCCGGTGATTAAAACAGAATTAATCTGTTCATTAATTCCCAGACTTGGATGGGACCTTGGAGGTCTTCTAGCCTGACCCCCTGCTCAAGGAGGAGACCTCCTCCCATTTCAGACCAGCGGCTGCCCAATCTCTTCTGAGAAGCCTCCACAACTTCAGGAAGCAAGTCCTTCCCCTGATTAATTAACATCACTAATCTGTTCATTAATTCCCAGACTTGGAAGGGACCTTGGAGGTCGTCTAGCCTGACCCCCTGCTCAAGGGTGAGACCCTCCATTTCAGATTTCAGATTGGACAGGGTATGTGTATGTGGGGGGGGGGGCACATCCTAGCCCAAACCCCCCCACACACACACACTCTTCCTGCCCCGAAATGCCCCTTTTCTCCCCCCGCCCAAGACGCACAAAGCCCCGTCTTTTTTTTTTCTTCTCGTCGAGCGGGGTGGTTCTCTTGCTCTCTGGTATAACCTCCTTTGTGTGTTCGGTGTGTGTCCCACCCCTTATTTATCGCTGCTCAGACTGTCTTTGGAAGTCATGACCATCCTATGTCGCTGTGAGAATATTGAGACGTCGGAGGGGGTGCCACTGTACGTAACGGGGGTCGCTCAGGTAATGTGCCTCCCGCTTCTCACCTCTCTGCCTAACACCCGCCTTGCGTCCTCCTCTTGTCCCACTTGCAGCACAGCAGACGCAGACGCAGACGACAAAGGAGCCCCCCCCCCCCCCGCCCCCCCCCCCCCCGCCCCCCCTCCCCCTCCCCCCACCCCTCCCCCCTCCTTCGCCCCCCCCTCCACCTCCTCACCCCCCCCTCCCCCTTTTCTGGCTCTGGCTACCTGCTTGGTTGCCTCCCGAGGGAACGCTCCGTATCGCGGCTGGCACTCGCTCACCTGGACGGCCGCTTGGCCAATCTCGCACAGCGTTGTCGTCGTCCCCCCACCTGGACTCAGGTGTCTGGGGGGCAGCAGCCGAACCCCCACCCCGGGGCAAACTGCGCCATCCCTGCACTAGGTCCAAAACGGTCTCCATCAGACCTGCCAGTTGTGCGGGTCTCTTTGACCCAGGAGACAGACACAGACACACACACACACACACCTGTCCCCTGGGTCAAGGGAGGGGTCAGGATTCCGGCAGCGACCCCCCCCCCCTTTTAAATCATGTTCTGGAGCCAACCTTCCAAATTAAAGAAGATTTATTAGGCGAAGACATGCCAGCACCGCCCGGATGCACCCACATCATTCCTTGTCACCCTTGTTGTCCCCCCACCACCCGCAACCCCGGGGTGTATCCTAATCCGTATCCTCCAACGGGACACGTCCGTAGCCCAGAGTCATCATCCCTCAGGCTCTCCGGGTAGAATTTTGCGCACAGCCGAAACTTCAAGGCGCCGAGTTGCTACCTTTGAAAAAAAAAAAAAACATTGACAGAATGCACTTCCTATTTCCAAGCTGCCGCACTGCTCCTCCCCCCCCCCACCACCATGCCTTTCTGTTACGGCCACTCCGAAAAGACCCTAGCCATATTTCATGAGTTGACAGGTGGGCAATTCATTTTCCCAAGGAGCCACATCATAAACTCGGGATTGTCGCAGCAAAGAGGGCTGTGAAGTTGCGCAGGCACGCGCACACGCGCGCGTACATGGAAATAAAGGTTACAGGTGCCTGCGCCCCTGTTGCTAGACAGTTTGTTGCGTCAGCTTTGCCCCGTTTTACGACCTTACTACCCCGTAGGTCTTGAAATCTAGTTCAGATACCACCCCGAGGCCTCACCAACTTCTCAAGAACGTCAGTGGCTAAACGTTCCTCCGTCTTCCTTCCCCACTTCCAAGACTCTCGACTGGTCGGGCAGGTGGTCACTTTTTATTCTGTCAGTGTAGCGTTTTTCATCTTTTAATGTTTTAGTTGTACTTGACCTGTGAAGCAACGGGAAGGTCACCTTGGAGGAAAAAAGTGATGCAATTCAAACCTGGCAAATGAGACCAGACAAAATGGTGATTCTTGTCACACGAATGATGCAGAAATTGTCGCCAGAAAGGAAAACATACCATTTCCTACAATTATTTTTTTTTTGCAGATGTATTTTTCAACTTGAGAAGGCTTGCGATTTTTAAAAACCCAATTCTTAGGCGCCAACTGATTTACACTAATATAAACTGGCATTTCCTTGAATTTAGAAAGATGCCAAGCTCTTGAACAGCCATTTTAGCGATCCAGAGAACAAGGTAATCGGAGTTGAAAGGGATCTTGTGGGTCATCTAGTCTAACCCCCCTCCCCCCCCGCGCGCGCCCAACCTTCCTTGCCGGCGTTGTTAAGCGAATCCCCGCAGTTGCTGAGTGAGTCACACGGTTGTGAAGGGGGATCTTGGTTTCCCCCCGTGGGCTTAGCTCGTCGGAAGGTCGCAAAAGCAATCCCGAGACCCGGCCAACCGTCCTAAAACACCCGTCGGTCTCCTGAGCATCTGAATTTCGATGCTGCAACCGTGGAGATGACAGTCCCAACTTCGGTCACTAAAGGAACTGCCATCAGTCGAGGACTACCTGTACGTAAAATGAAAAATAACTGTTGCTTTCAAAATAAAAGGCAACCCATGGAGGCCAGATAGAGACAGCCGAAGGGCCGGAGGTGGCCCAGGGGTTGTAAAACACCCGGGTTTGACCCGGGATATCTATTCATCTCGATTTGCACATAAAAAGGTCATCTGCTTAAAAAGAAAAATACATTCCCTCCTCTCAAAAAAAGCTTCAAAATTCAGATTATTTCTTTGCATCCTCTGGATCAGGGGGTCTCCGACCTCGGCCGTTTTAAGCCTGGCGGACTTCAACTCCCAGAATTCCCCAGCCAGCTTTGCCGGAGTTGAAGTCCGCCAGGCTTAAAGCGACCGAGATCGGAGACCCCCCCCCCTTGCTCTGGACTTTTTATTAACCAGATAATCCTGGTTTAGTCTGAGACTTCGCCGCTTGCGCTAAGGGGGAAAGGATTGGCGGGCCAGCAATGTAGGGCAAGCCTCCTCCCTTAGAGCAAACCAGGGTTTGTTTTGATCTCAAGACAAATCACCTGTTGGTAGCCGCCTCTGCTGCTGGCTCCGTGGAGCTGGGGTGGTTTCGGCGACGGTATTCCCGCCTCACTCCGTGCTTTCTTGCGGCAGGGAGTTAACGTGAAGGTGAGCGGTCTTCGGCTCCCAGAATTCCCCAGGCAAGTGTCCCGTCCCCCCCACTCCTTAGGGAATTCTGGGAGTCGAGAGTCCATATTCTCTCTCGACGTCGCTTAATGATAGAAACACGAGGCCGATAAAAGAGCGGAAAGCAAGTTTTAGACAGCAGAGAGTCTTCCAGGCCAGGCAGATTCACACATGGCTTACCGTTTACTCTCTTTATAATAATATAATATAATATAATAAAATATAATAAAAGGGGGAGGGGTCACCCCTTGATTTCCAAGACCAGGTATCAGGATTCTGGCAGTGACCGCCCCCCGCCCCCCCCCGCCCCAATTTAAATCCGGAGTCTTGGGCCAAAGTTATTGGGAGTTAATATGTCCAACACTGAGACGCGTCATTCCTTGTCCCCCTTGACCTTGGTTCTGCCCCCCCATACACACCTCTCGGGTGTATCCTAATTCCTATCCTCCAATGGGACACGTCCATAGCTCAGAGCCATCCATCGGGATCTCCAGTTAGAATTTTGCCAGGCAGAAAAAACTTTCAGTCACCTCGTTTTTTTTTGGGGGGGGGGGGAAATTGATGGAATGCACTTTCGATTTCCAAGCTGCCACACTGCTCCCCCGCTCCCTTTCTAAAAAAAAGACCCTAGATCTATTTGATGAGCTGACCCCAGGGAAGGGGTGTCCTGCTGTAGGCCTTGACCGTAGGGTCGGAGCCAAGGCTGGGATTCGACCGGTTTGTCCGAACCGGCGGTTCCGGTGGGTATTAAGAGCGGAAGGTTTCCAACCGCCGTCGAATCCCGGCCCGGCTCGAAACCAGCCAGGAACTCGTAGCGCCTCCATCCTTCAACCTCAGGGCCTCCGAGCAACCCCCTTTTTTGGGGGGGGGCTTGCCAGAGGGGGGGGGGGAGCTGCCGTTGGGCCGGCAGAGTCCGACCTTCCCAACCCCCCCCCCCATCTCTCAATCCCCGGGGACGAATGGAAAGCCGCTCCCTTTTGGGGAGGGGGCGGCCGCTGAAGGGGACCGGCAGCCTGGTCACACCGTCCCATCCCGTCCCCGCATTGAGGGACCCCCCCCCGCCCTTGAGCCGAGAATGGGGGATAGCTGGGACCACCCGCCTGGAACCGCGCCAACCTTTTACGTCTCTTGGCAGGATTTCCCTAGAGATAATGACGTTACAGCCCAGGTGTGAGGACGTAGAGACGGCGGAGGGGGTAGCTTTAACTGTCACAGGTGTGGCCCAGGTACGGTAACCTCCAGCGCGCCTCTTTCCAGGGATGCATGTCTCAGCGGTCACCAGGGCCTCTCTTGGGGAGCGGGGAGGGGGTGTCCTTCGCTCCCCTTGCCAACGGCCCACGCTGCACGACCGCCACGTTTCGGGACGGGAAGCCTGGCTGCTGCCGCTGCTTCTTACTCTTGGTCACTAAGCGGGTGCTTCCCGTCGTCCGCCCGCCCCGCCCCTCCCCTCCCCGTTACCTGCTACGGAGTCTTGGGTTGCTGGATTTCAAGAGGAGTCCCGGAGCTGCTCAAGGCTGTCTGGACGTTCCCCTCCGCTCCCGTTTCTTCCGTTTGGTGTCTCTGGCGTTTTGGATCGGGACTAGGGAAGACTTGAATCCAGAACCTGGTTTGTCAACATCGCTACCGGGGGTGTCTCTCTCTCTTTTGAACCGATAGAAGGCCACGTTTGCAGCCCAGGGTTGAAATGGGGGGGGTCCGTGGGGCTCCCTGAGCTCGGTGGACATTTCATCACCCGGCTAGGTTACGCCATCAGTGCTACGAGGAAGGGCTCTCGTTTTATAGAGAGTAAACCCCACTCCCTACTAGCACTGATGGTGTTCCCTGGTTGGGAAATGAAACGTCTGCCAGCAAAGAAGGAAGCTCAGACAGCACTAAGGACCCCCAGAGGTCATCTCCTCCTCCTCTTCCTCTCTGTAAACGCTCCTCCCTTTTAGCCCTGATAGCGTTACCTGCTTCGCCCCCTCCACCTCCTCCACCTCCCCCTCCTCCTCCTCCTCCTCCTCCTCCTCCTCCTCCTCGTCCTCCTCCTCCTCCTCCTCTCTACAAACCCCACTCCCTTCGAAAACTGATAATGTAACCTAGTTGGGTCATGAAACATCTGCAAGAAAACCACCCAGCTCAGAGAGCACCAAGGACCCCACAGTCCTCCTCTTCTTCCTCCTCTTCTCTACAAACCCCACTCCCCTTCGAGCACTGATGACGTTCCCTGGTTGGGTCACGAAACGTCCGCACGAAAACAAGGAAGCTCAGAGAAGCAATAGAGACCCCACAATCCTCCTCCTCCTCCTCCTCCTCCCCTTCTCTTCCACTCCACAACCCCACTCCCCTTCTAGCACTGATGACGTTACCTGGTTGGGTCACGAAACGTCTGCAATGAAACAACGAACCTCCTAGGCCACCACAGACCCCACTTATTTTGTCTGTGGGGTTGCAACTGGTACCCAGGATGTCCCGCACCGTTGTTACCTTCGTAATCACGGTGATGTTTAAAAATGAAAGGCTTCAATGGAATTTCTCTGTGGGAAGACGTCATATTAGGCGGATTGGGATGAGTTCTCCTTTCCCCAAGTTGGTCTGCAACTTCCTTGATGCCTGTTCTTATTTTCAGGGGTTTGATTAGACCAGCAGCCCTCAGTTCTTGGCAGCTTTTAAGAGGGGTGGACTTCAAATCCCAGAATTCCCCAGCCAGCTACCTTCGGCCAGATCCACGGTAATTGAAGGGCTAGCAACACGACACAACCTATATTGTTTAAAAGAACGAATCTCCTTCTTCACCCGACCCTTCCCAAGGCCCACGGGTCTAGGACAGGTCACCACAGCCAAGTCACTGCGGGACAAGAGTTAACACTAGTATCAGAATAGAATAACAGAGTTGGAAGGGACCTTGGAGGTCTTCTAGTCCAACCCCCTGCTTAGGCAGGAAACCCGACACCACTTCAGAAAAAACGGTCATTCAGTCTCTTCTTAAAAACTCCCAGTATTTGGAGCATTCGCCACTTCTGGAGGCGAGTAGTTCCACCGGTTAATTGTTCTAACTCCGGAAATTTCTCCTTAGTTCTAGGTTGCTGCTTCTCCTGCCTTCAGGGGCTTTGGAGAATAAGTTGACCTGCCTCTTCTTTGGGGCAGTCCCTGAGATATGGGAACACGGCTATCGTGTCACCCGAAGACCTGGTGGCATAGAATCGTTCAAGAACGGAACAAAATGGCAACCGGCAACATTTAAAATCTGAAGTCATTAAGTGTCTGAAAGGGTCCAGGGCCGTGACGGCGAACCTATGGCATGCGGAGCCGTTTGAGCCGGCATGCGAGCTGCAGGCAAACTTATCCTCACTGCGCGTGTGCGCGCCTCACAGCTGATTTTCGGCTGGTTTGAGGCCTTTTTCGGCCTCCCAGAGGAAGGAAGTTGTGGAAGACTTTGGCAGGCTTTGCAGGCCGAAAAATTAGCCCCGTTTTATCACTTCCCGTTTTTCCGAAAATACCAGAAGTGACGAAACGGGGCTAGTTTTCGGCCCGCAGAAGCCTGCAAGAAGCCGCCTTCAAACCTCTGGGAGTCTGAAAAAGGCCTCAAACCGGACAAAACTCAGCTGTCAGGTGCAGTGCAGGTAAGGGGGCGACGGCGGGGGGGGGGATTGCGCACGCATGGATTGGGGGGCGGTGGGGGCACGCATTGCCTTCTGGGTGCTGGTACACGAGCGTGCGAGCGCGCGCACCATTTTTGGCACAGGAGCCCCCCCCCAAAATAAGCCACCGCTCTGGTCTAGGGCTGCCTGCCCGAGCAGGGGGTTGGACTAGAAGACCTCCAAGGTCCCTGACTGTGTTCTGTTCTGAACTGTCGACTTGTCTTGCGGTCAGACGGCCGTGGCGAGTTGTCCCAATTCCGAGGGCGCTTTCCGCCTTCCCCAGTTTCGTACACAAAAAGGTTATTTTGTCCGAGTGCCCAGCAGCCATCTTAGTGAAATTGCGCATTAGGAAAATGTCGTTTCCGTTTCCCCGCATAGCTCCTCCAGCCGTACCGGAAAGAGACTAAAATTAAAAAAGCTGTAATATAATGTGCTTGCTGTTTATTTACAATAATAAATCTTCCCCACCCCCAAAAAAATCAAGAGACACCATGTACCTCTGGAAAGGTCACTCGCACCAATGCTGAGCACCCCACGAGAAGTAGAAGAAGAAGAAGGAAGTAATTTTGTTCAAGAAGCAGTTAAGTAGGCAAAAAAGGAACCCAGGATTTGCAAAACGAATAAAAACGCACCGAGATGAAATAAATTTTTCTGGAGCATTTCAGAGATAATACTGTAAAAACATACATAAGGAGATAAAGACCAAAAAAAAACCCCCAAAACCCCCACCCAGCCATGAACTGATAGAATTTACTCCAGGTTGGGAATATTTTTAGACCGTATCAACCGTGAATCACTATACAGGTAGTCCTTGACTTACGAACGCAATTGAGTCCAAGTTTTTCGTTGCTAAGTGAGACAGGTGAATTTTGCCCCGTTTTACATCCTTTCTGGCCACTTCTTGTTAAGCGAATCATTAACAGGTTGTTGCATGTCGCAAAAGGGGATCACAGGACACTGCAACCGTGCTAAGTACATGCCAGTTGCCAAGAGTTTGCATTTCGATCACGTGATCATTGGAGATGCTGCAACAGTCATAGGTGTGAAAAACGGTCATGAGTTCACTTTGAATGACCGCTAAATACACAGTTATGTCGAGGACTACTCCTATTTGAGGCCAACGTGTCGCTATCCCAAAGGTGCTTTTTCAAGTGGCAACTTTCTGATTTTTCCCTGAAGACGTTTCGCTGCTCACCCAAGAAGCTTCTTCCGCTCTTCTCTCTTCTTCAGAGCGGGAAGGAAGCTTCTCGGGTGAGAAGCGAAACGCCTTCAAAGAAAAACTAGAAAATCCACTTGCCCCTTAGGTTGGCTTCAAAATGTATGTGTTTTCATTTCTGCGGCTGCCCATGTTGGTAGCTGCTAAAAAGGAACCACAGTGAGCTAGGCCTGGAAGGGACCTTGGAGGTCATCTAGCCCAACCCCCTTCTCAAGGCGGCAGGTTGACATGCTCAACCCTCTTTCCCTCCCAACAGACCCTGAAAATAAGAACTGGGTCTCAACATTTAATTTTGGCTCCAAAAGACGCGTTGGGGCTTATTTTCCGGTTAGGGCTTATTTTCGGGGAAAATTTGATACTAAACACATCCATCTGGCAGACCGCCTTAACTGGGGCTTAATTTTGGGGGGCAGGGCTTGTATTACAAGCCTCCTGAAAAAACCATGTTAGGGTTTATTTTCGGATAGGGTCTTATTTTCAGGGAAACACGTTATTTGAAAGCTGGAATATATCCGATCCATCAAAGCCCTAGGCTGGCTGGGGAATTCCAGGCGTTGTGAAGTCCACACGTCTTAAAAGCTGCCAAGGTTGGACAACCTCTGGTTTCAGGTGCAGAGCAAGGCATAAAGAATGGAGATAGACCACCTCCACTTCTATCCAGGACCCAGTCTGGATCTTGAGTCCTGGGGGGAGCCGCCCTTAGGCCAGAAAAACCCAGAGGACACATATAACAGACTGGGTGAAACCAGGCTCAATAGCAGGAACTGGGAGGGGGATCTCGGAGTCTTAGTGGACAACCAGCTAAATAGGAGCCAATGTTGTGCAGCAGCAGCCAAAAAAGCCAATGCAATCCTAAGTTGCATTAACAGAGGGATACAAACCAGATCAAGGGAGGTACTAATACCGCTCTATAAAGCCTTAGTAAGGGCCACACCTAGAGTAGTGCAGCCAGGTTTGGTCACCACATTATAAAAAAGATGTTTAGAAAAAGTACAGAGAAGAGCAACCAGGAGGATGAGGGGACTGGAGGCTGAAACATACAATGAACGGTTGCAGGAACCGGGACTGGCTAGTCTAGTCTGTCTGTCTATATCTATCTGTCATCTGTCTCCCTGTATCTATCTATCTATATATCTATATCTATCTATCTATCTATCTATCTATCTATCTATCTTCTATCATCTGTGTCTTTGTCTATCCTATTTATCATCTCTCTCTCTCTCTCATCTGTGTCTTTGTCTATCTGTCTAGTCTAGTCTAGTCTAGTCTAGGGAAGAGAAGGACCAGGGGAGACAGGAGAGCATCTTCCAATATTTGAGGGAGGGGCTGCCCCAGAGGAGGAGGAGGAGAAGGGGGAAGGTCAAGCTATTTTCCAAAGCCCTAGGCTGGCTGGGGAATTCTGGGAGTTGAGGTCCCCAAGCCTTAAAAGCGGCCAAGGTTGGAGATCCTTAATGTAGGGTCTTCTCTTCTGCCATGGGCTGGGCAGGGGGGGTTGGACTAGAAGACCTCCAAGGTCCCCTCCGACCGTACGATTCCATGTTTTAAACCCAGCTTTCTCCATTTGCTCGTTGGCCACAAATTTCAATCCCCTAACCGCAGCTGCGACCCTGTTAAAGGCCGGTTTACCCGACGCCCAAATTTTGACTCTGGGGATGCTATGACGGTTAAGAAGTGCGAAGGCCAGTCACCTTTTTTTCCATTGCTGATGGCCGCCAAATAAAACGGGCGTAAGTTGAGGACTACCCGCAATCTCTTTTTAGGATATTTTAAAAAAGGAAGGGAAGAAAAAAAACACCCAAGCCAGATTAAAATGAAATTAAGCTAGCTAAATTGGTGAGGGAACACTGTTAAGAGGTGTAGGGTTTCCTGACTTAGGCAGGGGGGTTGGACTAGAAGACCTCCAAGGGCCCTTCCACCTCTGTTATTCTATTCTACGTGGCCTCAGGATTTATGTATGTGTTTAATTTCTGGGGCTGCCCATGTTAGTGGCTGTTAAAATGGAACCACAGCGAGCTAGGCCTGGAAGGGACCGCAGAGGTCATCTAGCCCAACCCCCTCCTCAAGCCAGCAGTTTTGACATGCTCCACCCTCTTTCCCTCCCTCAGACCCATCGACTGACCCCTGCCCTGGATTCCTTGCCTTGCCTGGATCCCAAAATACAGGGGTTCCTCGACCCCACTGGAGCCCAACATTTCTGTCGCTATGCGAAACACGTTGAGTGCGTTTTGCTCTGTTTCATGACCTTTCGCCCCTCCCCGGTTAAACGAATCACTGCAGTTCTTAACATTGAATCCGGCTTCCCCTATCGACTGCTCAGTCGCAAAAGGGGATTCGTGGACCCCCCCCGCCCCCTCCCCGGGGATAAAGCAGCCGTCACGAAAATGAGTCAGTTGCCAAGTGCCTGAATTTTGCAGTGGGGATTCTGCAATGCTCGTAGGTGCGAAAAATGGACATAAATCCCCTTTTTTTCAGGGCCAAACTGAAAAAAAAAACTGAATAAACTGTTGTAAGTAAAGGACAACCTGTATCTCCTTTTTGCTGTGTTTGCAAAATAATTGGGGAGGGGGGGGCAAAACTGGGGGGCTGGGACAGGAAAGGGGGCCACTATTGCGATGGTGGGAAGAGGCCTTAATTAAATTAAATTAAATTAAATTAAATTAAATTAAACGAAATTAAATTAAAGAACAACCGGCAGGGGCTACGGAGGAAGAGAAGGCATATAGAGGCGTCAGATTTATAGAATTCGATACTGATATTTGGGTGGTCTAGACTCTACAGTATTTCTCAGCTGTGGCCACTTGGAGGCGGGTGGACTTCAACTCCCAGAATCCCCCAGCCAACAGGAAGTTGGGAAAGCCAGCCGGCTGGAGCATTGTGGGAGTTGAAGTCCGTCCATCTTCAAGCGGCCAAAGAAACATTGATATGACGCCCCAGACATGCGGGGCAGTCTAGAATGACCCATCAGTTCAAATAGACCAATATTGGTCAACCTTTTGAGACGTTTAAGATAGGAGGACTTCAGCTCCCAGAATCCCCCAGCCAACAGGAAATTGGGAAAGCCAGCCGGCTGGAGCATTGTGGGAGTTGAAGTCCGTCCATCTTCAAGCGGCCAAAGAAACATTGATATGACGCCCCAGACATGCAGGGCAGTCTAGAATGACCCATCAGTTCAAATAGACCAATGTTGGTCAACCTTTGAGACGTTTAAGATAGGAGGACTTCAACTCCCAGAATCCCCCAGCCAGCTGGCTGGGGGATTCTGGGAGTTAAAGTCCTCCTATCTTAAACGTCTCAAAGGTTGACCAATACGGGTAGGCCTCAACACAACTGAATCCAACATTTCCACTGCTAAGCGTGGGACAGTTGTGAAGTTAATTCTGCCTCATTTTGCGACCTTTCTTGCCACCGTTAAGCGAACCGCCGCAGTTGCTCAGATTCGTCCCACGCCCGTTAAGTGAATCCATTGACTTCACTTTGTCAGAAGGTCGCCAAAGGGGGACTCAACATCTTACACACACACACACATGCACACACGACACCGCCACTGTCGTAAACCGGAGCCAGCTGCCCATTTTGATGACGGGGAATGCTGCAACGGCCATTAAGTGTGAAGCGGCGCTCTTTTTTTCGGCACCGGTGTAACTTCGAGCGGTCTGTTGTTGAGGGCTGCCTGGACTGGTCTAGTGAATTGGAAGCACCCCCTTTTGTGCCTGGGAGGGGGGGGAACCTGCTGCGACCCTCTTTAAAATAGACCCCACTTGGACGTAGCACCATACAAGCCCCTAAGGAGGTTCCGCCCGGATCCATTCACTGTGTTCACGTCTCCATTGGACGTCAGCCTTCTCTCTTCCCCTGATCTGTCCACCCCCCCCAAACTGGGGGGGGTCTTAAAAGGGTGTGGGACGGGGGGGCTCCAAACCATTTAGGGGACGCTTCTCTGCTCAGTTGCTTTGTGGGCCTGGCCTTAGCGAGTTTTTAAGCCGTGTTGGACTTCAACTCCCAGAATGCCTGAGCTCACGTGACTGGAGATGGAGGCATTCTGGGAGCGGAAGTCCCCACGTCTTTCGAGCTGTAAAAGTTGGAAGACCCCCCTGCTCTTAAGGAGACCAAATAAAATTCTTTGGTTGGTCCCAGGGTCATCGAGCGTGGCGCAGGATGAAATAAGGATCTGGGCCCTGCGATGGGATGACGGCCAAGCGGGGGACGGATTGGGAGGTTGGGAGATTGTGGGAACCCCGAAAAAATAAACTTTTTTAGATTCGGGGTCCCACAGATGTGCCGGGTGCTATCCTAATAAAGGTATTTGAGGGGGATAGGTCTGTCTCGGAGTTACCGATCGGAGTGGAGGGTTGCTGGAGCGCTGACCCCGAGCGGGCGTGGCTTAGTTGGCCTCCTGCGCCGTGCCGTGGGGGGCATTTTCACCCTCCCCGCAGTGGTGGGATTCAAAATTATTTTACTCCCGGTTCTGTGGGCGTGGCAGGGGAAGGAGCCTGTAAAATCGCCAGTCAGAGGTGGGATTTGTCGGTTCTCCAAACTACCCAATATCTCCACTGCCGGTTCTCCAAAACTGGTCGGAACCGGCTGAATACTACCTCTGCTCCCCAGACTCCGGAGGCTCTTTGGAGGCCAGAAACAGGTCCATTTTTCACCCTCCCCGAGCCTCCACGCGGGCTCTCCACTTACCTGGCATTGAAAACAGGCCACGTGGAGACACCTGGGAGGGTTGGGCTGGGAGGGGCCAGCCAGGAGTTGCAACTACAGGTTCGGCAAACCGGGTGTCAAACTAACAACCGGTTCGCCCAAACCGGTGTGAACCGTTAGCAAGCAGCCCATCCCCCTGGGATGGAGGGAGCGGCTGAGCGGGTTGCTTCTTCTCTGGCCAAACCTTTGGGAACCCAGCCGGGCCAATCCCGGATTCCTAAAAGCCAATCAAACGTCCACCTGTCCACCTCTGGCTGACCACGCCGGTCTTCTCATCCTGTTTTCCCTCCGGCCCGCAGGTGAAAATCATGACGGAGAAGGAGCTCCTGGCCGTTGCCTGCGAGCAATTCTTGGGCAAGAACGTCCAAGACATCAAGAACGTGGTTCTGCAGACGCTGGAGGGACATCTTCGGTCCATCCTGGGTGCGTATCTCGGCGGCCGTCGGGGGGTGTGTGCGCGTGTGGGCTTACGACGGCCGTAAATCGGTGCCTTGCAAGAGCACTCTACCTGAACCCCAAACAGCCTCCTGGCTTCGAGGCTAGTCTACCTGGTGAGGCCATCCCAGGCCAGGTGACTTAGGGTGGGGCATCTTTCTGGAGATACTCAACCGTCCATGTCATGGTTGCCCCAAAAGGTGACGGGACTTTTTTCTTTTTCTCGTTTCGGAAGACATTTTTGCTTCTCATCCAAGGAGAACAGGTAGGACCTGGCTGGACAGCAAGTAACTATGAGGTGGACCTTGGGGGTCTTAGCGGACCACCACTCAAATAGGAGCCCGCGGTGTGCAGCGGCAGCCCCCCCCCCAAAAAGCCAACACGGCTCTATCTTGCATAAACAGATGAAGTGTTAATACCGCTTTGTAAAGCCTTAGTAAGGCCCCGCTTGGAATAGTGGATGAAGTTTTGGTTGCCATGAGAGGAAAAATGAAGGACTTGGGGGGGTGGGGGTACATGATAGCAGCCTTCCAGTATTTGAGGGGCTGCCCCCCCAAAGAAGGGGAGGGGTGGGGGGGGGGACAAGCTATTCTCCAAAGCACCAAAGAAGGCAGGACAAGGAGCAAGGAGAGAGATTCAACCTGGAATTAAGGAGGAATTTCCTAACCGGGAGGACAATTCACCACCGGAACTACTTGCCACCAGGAGTTGTGGGGGTTCCATCCCCGGAGGCTTTCGAGAAGAGATTGGACTGCCACTTGTCTGAAACGGTAGAGGGTCTTCTGTTCGAGCAGAGGGTTGGACTAGAAGACCTCCAGGGTCCCTCCTGACTCTGATAATTCTGCTTGTCCGAAGGGTTACCAAAGGGGGATCCGTTGACCCAGATTCTGCAACCGTCGTAAATACGGGCCGGTTTTGCCGAGCGGCCAAATTTTGATCGGGTGACTCTGAGGGTCGTGTGGGGAAACTGGTCACGTCCCCCCGCCCCTTTTCTTTTTCCCCAGTGCCGTTGTAACTTCAAACAGTCGCTAAGTGAACGGTTGTAGGTGGGGGGCTACCTGTGGGGCCTCTTTGGAGAGTTGCTGCCCTCCACCCCGCTTGGCTGTCGGGGTGCGTGTGTGTGCGTTTGTGACACGTGTGTGTTTCTTTGCCGGCCTTGCAGGCACTCTGACCGTGGAGCAGATCTATCAGGACCGAGACCAGTTTGCCAAGCTGGTGCGGGAGGTGGCAGCGCCGGACGTGGGCAGGATGGGCATCGAGATCCTCAGCTTCACCATCAAGGTACGAGGGGGCGGGGCAGAGGCTCGGGCGGGGCCCAGTGGGGGGGGGGCGCGAGAGAGGGGGGGGGGGGGAAGACAGCTCCTCCCGAGCAGCTCCGTGAGAATCGAGGCTTCAATCCGGCAAGATTCTGTCTAGAGGTGCGAAACTGCGGATCAGCTCGGCTTGCAAGAATCGGCGCCGGTCGGTTTGGGTTTGGGCCTGACCTACGGTGGACGAGGGATTGTGGGAGTTAGGAAGTCCACGCAAGGTGGGACTGAGGGATTCTGGGAGTTGAAGTCCACACACAGCGACTGAGGGATTCTGGGTGTTAAAGTCTACACAAGGTGACCGAGGGATTGTGGGAGCTGGTCCAAGGCGATGGCTGAGGGATTCTGGGAGTTGAAGTCCACATAAGGTGACTGAGGGATTCTGGGAGATGAAGTCCACCTAAGGTGGGACTGAGGGATTCTGGGAGTTGGTCCAAGGCGATGGCTGAGGGATTCTGGGAGTTGAAGTCCACACACAGTGACTGAAGGATTCTGGGAGTTGAAGTCTACATAAGGTGACTGAGGGATTCTGGGTGTTAAAGACTACACAAGATGACTGAGGGATTGTGGGAGCTGGTCCAAGGCGATGGCTGAGGGATTCTGGGAGTTGAAGTCTACCTAAGGTGACTGAGGGTTTCTGGGAGTTGAAGTCCACACACAGCGACTGAAGGATTCTGGGTGTTAAAGTCTACACAAGGTGACCGAGGGATTGTGGGAGTTGAAGTCCACACACAGCAACTGAAGGATTCTGGGAGTTGAAATCTACATAAGGTGACTGAGGGTTTCTGGGAGTTGAAGTCCACACACAGCGACTGAAGGATTCTGGGTGTTAAAGTCTACACAAGGTGACCGAGGGATTGTGGAAGCTGGTCCAAGGCGATGGCTGAGGGATTCTGGGAGTTGAAGTCCACACACAGTGACTGAAGGATTCTGGGAGTTGAAGTCTACATAAGGTGACTGAGGGATTCTGGGTGTTAAAGACTACACAAGATGACTGAGGGATTGTGGGAGCTGGTCCAAGGCGATGGCTGAGGGATTCTGGGAGTTGAAGTCCACACAAGGTGGGACTGAGGGATTCTGGGAGTTGAAGTCCACACAAGGTGGGACTGAGGGATTCTGGGAGTTGAAGTCCACATAGCGACTGAAGGATTCTGGGTGTTAAAGTCTACACAAGGTGACTGAGGGATTCTGGGAGTTGAAGTCCAACATGGTGGCTGGGGAATCCTGGGAGTTGAATTCAAGGCAACTCTGAATTGTGCCGAGGAGGCGTTTTGCCCCCTCCGGAGGGGGATCCCACCCAGAGCCGCCCTTGACCCCCCCCCCTCCTCACTCCTTCCCTTGCAGGATGTCTACGATAAAGTCAGCTACCTGAGTTCGCTGGGGAAAACCCAGATCGCCGTGGTCCAGCGAGACGCCGATATCGGTGTGGCCGAGGCCGAGCGAGACGCCGGCATCCGGGTAGGTGGAGTGAGCGAAGCCCCTGGGCCCCCCCCCCTCTCTGTCCCTCTTCTCCGGAGGTCCTGGGAGACCCCGCTGAGCTTTCCTTTTGCCGCCGCAGGAGGCCGAGTGCAAGAAGGAGATGCTGGACGTGAAGTTCAGGGCGGACACCAAAGTGGCCGACTCCAAGCGGGCCTTTGAAATGCAGAAGGCCGCCTTCACCCAGGAGATCAACATAAAGGTGGGGCTCTCTTTTGGGGGGGGCGGGGTGGACCTGGTGGGGGGGCGGGAGAGAGTGAAGCTGCAGGGGGAGAAAAGCGAGGCCGGGGGCGACACGCGCAAGTGAGGTTGGTCCGTGGAGGACTTCCCCCGAAAATAAGACCCGATGGCTTTTTTGGTGGCCAAAAGTAAGTGTGTGTGTGTGTGTGTGTGTGTGTGTGTGTATGAATGACAGGGTCTTATTTTGGGGGAAACGCAGTAGTTGGGTCCTGAAACGTCTTAAGGAATCAGCCAAGCTCCGAGAGCACCGAGGACCCTGTAATCCTCCTGCCCTTCTCCCCTTCCCCTCCAGCTCCTCCTCCTCCGCCCCTTCTCCTTCTCCTTCCCCTCCTCCTCCTCCTCTCCACAACCCTCCCTTCTAGCACTGGTGATGTTCCCTAGCTGGGTCATGAAACGTCACCCGGCTCAGAGAGCCCCAAGGACCCAACTATCTTCCTATTCTCCTTCCTTCCTTCCTTCCTTCCTTCTCTTCCCATCCCCTCCCTCCCCCTTCCTTCCCTGCCTCCCTCTCCCTCCCATCCTCTCCTTCCTTTCTTCCACCATTCCTTTCCTTCCCTCTCACCCTCCTATTCTCTTCCCATCCCCTTCCTTCCTTCCTTCCTTCCTTCCTTCCTTCCAGCCCTGATGATGTTCCCTAGTTGGGTCATGAAATGTCTGCAGGGAAGCAATCCAGCTCAGAGACACCAAGTCCATCTCCTCCTCCTCCCTTTCTCCTCAACTCACCCTTCTAGTACTGATGACGTTCCCTAGTTCGGTCATGAAACGTCTGCAAAAAAAAACCAGCTGAGCTCAGAGAGCCCACCAAGGACCCCACAGGCTTCAGCTGTTCCAGGCTCGGATGGAGGACAGAGCCAAGGGGCCAGCGAGAATCACCTTGGGTGGGAAAATAGGGAAGTGACCCCGTTCCGTCGGCTTGGCAGGGAGAAACCTTGGAGGGGAGAAAAACGACAGAAAGGCCCCTCCACCCACACCACCCCCTGGGCAGGACTCCGGTCTAAGCGGCGACCTCAACGGCGACCGTTTCCCCCGTTTCTGACCTTCCTCCTTCCCTCTGGACAGTCGGCCGAGGCCCAGCTGGCCTACGAGCTGCAGGGCGCCAAGGAGCAGCAGAAGATCCGTCAAGAGGAGATCGAGATCGAAGTGGTCCAGCGCCGGCGGCAGATTGACGTGGAGGAGAAGGAGATCGTGCGGATGGACAAGGAGCTGATCGCCACCGTCCGGCTGCCGGCCGAGGCCGAGGCCCACCGCATGCAGGAGATCGCCGAGGGAGAAAAGTGAGTGGAGGGCAGGGGAGTTTGCTGCCAGCAGAAAGGAAGTGTGGGGGGGGGGAAGCAGTACATTCCTTAGATGCTGCAGATAATTGCTAGGCAGCCGAAGCTGTTGGCACGCAAGATTATTACTGGAGAGCATGATTGGTGACTCTTGGCTATGGATGTGTCCCATTGGAGAATATACATCCAGGGGGGTGGAGGGGGGAAAGACCAGGGTCAAGGGAGAGATGAAGGATGGGTCTCAGAGTCGGCTGCAACTGGGGAACGCCAACATGTCAACTCCTTCATAAATCAGTATTTTTTAGAGATGCGACTAGAGATTTGGGATTTGAATGGGGGGTGGATTGGTTGGAGTCCTGACAGACCGGGACCCTTGGCTAGAGATCCGCAGGAGGGGAGGGGGAGTCCCAAGAGGTCCCCTTATCCGGGCTCCGGTAGATAACCCCCATTTACATCATGAGTCTCTAGCCAGATTTTCAAAGCTCAAAGAAGATTTATTAGGAATAGAATAGAATAGAATTCGTTTTATTGGCCAAGTGTGATTGGGCACAGAAGGAATTTGTCTTGGTGCAAATGCTCTCAGTGCACATAAAAGAAAAGATAAATTCTTCAAGCGTCAAGAATCAATCTGGTACAACACTTAATGATAGTCATAGGTACAATAGAATAGAATGGAATAGAATAGAATAGAAAGATATAGGAATAGAATTTAAATAGGATGGGATGGGACGGGACGGGATAGAGAATAGAATAGAATAGAATAGAAATTAGAACAGAATAGAATGAGAACAGAATATAGAATAGAATTAGAATAGAATAGAAATAGAATAGAATTCTTTATTGGCCAAGTGTGATTGGGCACAGAAGGAATTTGTCTTGGTGCAAATACTCTCAGTGCACATAAAAAGAAAAGAGACATTCGTCAAGAATCATCAGGTCCAACACTTAATAATAGTCATAGGGTACAATAAGCAACCAAATCATACTACAATAGAATAGAATTATAATTAGAACTAGAATAGGGAATAGAATAGACTAGAATAAGAATATGATAGACTAGAACTAGAATAGGGAATAGAATAGAACAGAATAGACTACAGTAGGATCAGGAAAGAATAGAATAGATTAGATAATAGAATAGAATAGAATAGAATAGAATAGAATAGAATAGAATAGAATAGAATAGAATTCTTTATTGGCCAAGTGTGTTTGGACCCACAAGGAATTTGTCTTTGGTGCAAATGCTCTCAGTGTACATAAAAGAAAAGATACATTCGTCAAGAGTCAAGAATCATCAGGTTCAACGCTTAATGACAGTCAGAGGGTACAAGAAACCATCAAATCATACTAGGAAACAGTCCATATAAATCGTAAGGATACAAGTGACAAGGTTACGGTCACACAGTCACAAGTGGGAGGGGATGAGCGATAAGGAGGGATGAGAAGATTAACAGTGATAGTAGTGCAGACTTCCTAATAGCTGGACAGTGTGGAGGGAATTCTTTGTTTGGCAGAGGGAAAAACTGTCCTTGTGTCGAGTTGTTCTGCTGTGCAGGGCTCTATAGCGTCGAGAAGACATGCCGGTGCTGCCGGGGTGGGGTGTAGCCGACTCTCAGACACCTCATTTTCACTGTCACCCTTGACCCTGGTTTCCCCCCACCCCCACCCCCCTGGGTGTGTCGTAATTCATATCCTCCAACGGGACACCTCCCTAGCCCAGAGTCATCCATCAGGCTCTCTAGTTAGAATTTTGCCCGGCAGATTTCCCCTTCTGACCCGGGCAGTCCATGGGGAAGCCAGGTTCCCTTAAGGACCACATGATTCACTGAACGACCCCTGCCGGGATTCCTTTAACAAGGGCGGCAGGGAGGTTGTAAAATGAAGCCCAACTCACTGAGCAGCTGTCCGGCTTAGCGATGGAAACGTTGGGCCGAATTGCAGCCGTTCGTCAAGGAAGGCCTTGGAAGACTCAAGCCTCCAGCCAGCAGGGGGTCTCCCACCTTGGCCACTTTTAAAGACCGGTGCGCTTCCGCTTCCCAGCATCCCCCAGTCAGCAAAGCAAAGCTGGGTGAGGAATTCTGGGAGTGGAAGTCCCCGAGCCTTATAAAGCAGCCAAGGCGGGAGAGCCCTGCTCCGGAGGTCCCCCGCTAAGACCCCTGCCTGAGAAGGCCGAGGTCGTCCCCCCCGTCCCCCCGGACCGCTTTACGAGGGCCCGCCTCTTCCTCCCCGAAAGGGTCAAGCAGGTGCTGATCGCCCAGGCCGAAGGGGAGAAGATCCGGAAGATCGGCGAGGCCGAAGCGCTGGTGATTGAGGCCCTCGGCAAGGCGGAGGCCGAGAAGATGAAGCTCAAAGCGGAAGCGTACCAGCAGTACGGGGAGGCAGCCAAGATGGCGCTGGTGCTGGAAGCCCTGCCCCACGTGAGTGCCCGGCCTGGGGACGGGGGAGAGGGTGGGGGGGGCTCCCTTTCCTTCCCTCCCTCCCAGCGGTCCCTTGGAGCTGCTCAGCACCTCCGTCCTTAACGAAAAGGAAGAGGAGAGGTGACAGATTCCAGGACTGGAAGAAGATTCTCCGAAGAACGTCGGAAGGCTCCACAAGGAGCAACAGACTGAAATTAATCTGGAATTAAGGAGGGATTTCCTGACAGCGAGAACTAACCCAAGGCCCTCCAAACCTGGCCAGTTTAAGACTCGTGGACTTCAACTCCCAGAATTCCTGAGCTAACATTGACTGGAGGAGGAATTCTGGGAGTTGAAGTCCACGAGTCTTAAAAAGCTGCCAAGTTTGAAGACCCCTGGAATAGATAGATAGAGAAAGAGAGAGAGAGAGAGAGAATAGATCAATAAATAGAGAAAGAGAGGTAGAAGAGAGAGAAAGAGAGAGATAGGATAGATAGAATAGACCAGGGTTCTCCAAACTTCGCAAGTTTAAGACTTGTGGACTTCAACTCCCAGAATTCCTGAGCTAACATTGACTAGAGGAGGAGGAATTCTGGGAGTTGAAGTCCACAAGTCTTAAACTTGTCAAGTTTGGAGACCCTTGTTCTAGAAAGAGTGCAGAGAAGAGCAACCAGGAGGATGAGGGGACTGGAGGCTAAAACATACGACGGACGGTTGCAGGAACTGGGCCTGGCTGGTCTAGGGAAGAGAAGGACCAGGGGAGACAGGAGAGCATCTTCCAATATTTGAGGGAGGGGCTGCCCCAGAGAGGAGGAGGAAGGGGGTCAAGCTATTCTCCAAAGCATCTTTGAAGGCCAGACAAGGAAGAATGGATGGAAACTGACCCAGGAGAGATTCAACCTGGAAATAAGGAGGAATTTTCTGAGAGTGAGAACCATCAACCCCTGGAACAGACGTTGCCTTCAGAAGT